GGGTAACGGTGTAAATTGAGAAGGGCGCAGGTCTGTGCGTCGGCCTCCTTCTGGGGAGGCAACAAACCTGGGGGTTGCTTGGGAGGGGATGTGTGACAGGGTGGTGTTTTACCTTCTGTAAGGGAGGGCATCTGGGGGAGATGTCTGTGCCTGCTGCTGTTCTTGCAGCTAGGATAACAGCAAGAATGAGGGGATAATTTTTTTTACTAAAAACAGTGGGGGAAGCCAACCGTGCTGATCACCCATGGGGGTCACGGGCCAGGTGCCTCCTACCCCTGAACTGTCACGTGAGCCAATCAGTAGCTAATTACAACGTTTATAACACCATTAACCTTTAATCGCGTAGTCCATTAGTAGACTAAGAGCATCAAAAAAATGCCAACAAAGCCCACCAAACCATGTCACGGCGTCCCACACAATTACATTTTGTCACACTCCGGGACTTCACGCGGATGGCAGAAACCCCACACAGGCGCAGGGATGCCGGGGGAAAAGATATGGCATGGCAAACTCGTTCTCCGAGAGCATCTCTCGTCAGCTGGCCTCTGTGTCACGGGAGGACTTCCTTGGCGCTGAATGAAACCTAGCTTCAGAGGTCAGGTTATCCGTCAGTCTTGAGAGAGGCACTGCGGAAAAGCTGACAGCCGCAGTGTTTGCGTCTTCACGTGGGTGGAAAGCTGGCCCTGATTCTGTAAATAATGAGGTTATGTTGAGAGGTGAAGTGCATTATGTCAGACCAGTTCCAGTGGTAAGAAACCATTTAATGATAGAGTGTTAAGGAAGGGAACTTTTGAACAATAAACATCTTCCCACACTTAGCCCGTTAGGGTGCCTAATCAACCCTCTGTATGGTTTTCGGTGTAATGTGTACGGTATCGAGTAACTGGCAAGCTACTTGGCATTTGTATAGCAGCAAACAGCAGACTACTTAGTCAGCCAGCGCATCCAAATAATTGCATTTAAGAAATACATGTGGAAATGAATCCCTCCATCTTACCGAAATACCCCTGGCAATCCGTGTGGAGATAGCAGCTATTACTGCCCACATACCGATTGGGTGTGTTTCCCTGCCTAACCCCGAGGTAAACAGCGTAACTGGCACAGAATATGAAGCGTGTTCTTTCCTATTTAATGCTTTTCAGTGGGTTCTGCTAACGCCGTTGCATTGGCTAGTTACTCCTGCTAAACTACGAAATTGCTCAGGAGGGAACCGTTTCAGAATTGCTTGAGAGCAAGCCAGAAGCGTTAATGCCTGCGTGCATAAGGTATTGTTTAAAAGGGGAAAGTTAAAGCTCGGTGGGAGTTGTTGGTGATCTGCCTCTCAAGATGTTTGCAGGTTCCCTTTAACAAATAATTTTAAGGTGAGCAATTCCTCAAGATGAGAGAATGAAAAAATAGGTCTGTAATAAAATACCTGTGTGGTTTTATTTTTAGTCTGAGGAAAATACATAGGAGCAGTTACCCGATTCTTGGGCCTGATCTCCGGGGTCTGTGGTAGTCGATCATCCAGACCTATTTTAAGCTCCTTGGCTGTATTTTCCCTCCAGGTTTTCTAGGAGAATTCTTGGCGTTCAAGGTCCAGATGTCCAGCCTAAGCATACCTGTGCTCCACTTGAGCTTTGGCTCTTCTTACGTAGCCAGAAGCGGGTCTGAAATAGGGTTCAAGTCTGGCTGTCAGCACGGTCAGTCCAACTCTAAAAACTGTATGTTCACCAGGACAGCTACTTAGTGTTTTTAGGATGGTTTATGTTCTGTTTTAACCTTAAAATAATTGAGCGTGTCCCTGTGTCTGTGTGTGCCCTGTAGGCACCAGAGGAAGGTTGAGGTAGCGCTCACGGCTTCATCTACGCACGGTCTCCAGCTCCCGCACTCTGTGTTTATCCACGGCAGCATAATCCTCCTCTTCAGCCGGATGCTTGGCGATTCAGACACCATCTGCCCTACTTAAGGTATAAATAAGCCTTTCATGTTACTTGAGGATTACAAGAAGGGGCTCTTTTGAAGACTGGTTTCCCGCACAGCAGGCGTTGGCCCTTGCACTCCTGCAAGATGTTCCGATGAGAGGAAAGTATCGGTTTCCAAGCCACGTGTTCAGAGAGCAGTGGCAGCTTCTGGCTACCAAACTACTAAACTGGCCTTTATCAGTTGTAAGAAGTATGCATGTGAAGGGTAACCTTCCTGTAGCTTTACACCAAGCACACATGTCCGTACAGGCCATTTACCACTGTTAAGCTGACTGGCTTGAAGAGGAGGGTGGGGACTGAAGTACTCACTTGGAATCAGAGTTTCAACAATGTTTTGGGTAGTGGTGATGTAGTACTTGGGTGAAATGGGGTTAGGTCCCTGATCCTCTGCAGATTTCATGTGTGATTGGGGGTAACCTCCTGCTTTCCACTTCTGGAGCTGAAACGATGGAAATAAGGGATGTATTTCATACAGGAATGTACTAAACCAAATGAGACACAATGACTATAATTTGACTGAAGGGTTGCTTGGTCTATTGGTTGTGCTTTGTATCCTGGCCTCATTCCCTGTCTGTCCTTCTCTTCCTCCTCCTCTCTCTGTGCTGGGCTGGCTGAAGCATTGGTGTGGTCTCTGGGGACCAGGTGGGTTAGGAATGGACTGTCTGAAGAATTTGCCCAAATCTGTTTCCTGATCTGGTTCAATGCACAGCTGCCTAAATACGTCACCTGGCATGAGGCAGGGGGCAATGTGAGGCAGGAACAAGCAGTTGGGGATAAGAGTTGATTACATGCTGGTGAATGAGACACCAAATTGCAGTTTCAGAGATGTTGTGTAGCATTTCCTTGTCAGTGTTGCTCCAATATGAGTTTTTTCAGTGAAAGTCCTTCTTCAACCTTTTCACATACTACCTACCTCTCTGAATGCTGCAGCAGGAGCCAAGCCTTATCCTGCAGGTGTTGGTTTTGCATGATGCTGTGATCTGAGAGACTTGGCTTTGTTCTTGTGATGACCGATGAGGTTTTTGGAGAATCAGACACGTTGCTGGGTGTCCGTGACCGTACATATATATATATGTATATGTACATACAGGTGTATATTCTCAACTCTGATTCTCTTCCGGGAGCCCTGCAATTTAGAAACATGGTTATGGTTGGGAATCAAAACAACCAACCTGAAAACCCCAACCAAAACCTGATAACCCACAACTGAGGGTGCCATGAGTCGGTTCCTGGACTTTCCAGGGTCCAGCTCTCTCTGTGTGCCCGACCGTCCCGAGTCCCGTTGGCTGGGCTGACCCACACATCCATGGCAGGTGGCTGTGTTTCAGTCATCCTTTGCTCTTGCCTCTGGCTCGCTTTGTTTTCTGCTCTGCTTGGGTGCTTGAGGGAGCAGTAGTGCAGGAAGCTGTGGGCACTTTTCAACCTCTGAGGTCTCGAGAGGTATGTGATGCAATTAAAAAACTTTGTCTTTACACGTTTCCTATTTTAATTGGAAATGAAGTCGCTGTAATGAAAGAACCGAAATGGGAGGATGCGGGAGAAATGGTTGGCATTGTACCGAATACCAGCTGATGTCCTGAGTGTACTGTACCAGCCTGGAAACCTTGACACCTTACTGATATTAAGACACTAGGGTCATTAGATGGGAGACTGTTTCAAATAATTCCCCACTTCCAAATTTCCATGCAATACTGAATTAGAGGCACTGGAACTGCTGCTGTTACCTCAGACGTTCCAGCAGCTACGTGACTGCACAGGCTGAGGTTGCTGCCAGGCACCCCGGCGAGGAAGGGGAAGACAAGGATTAAATCTGTCCGAGTGAAAGACCTCTTCTCTGACTCAACTGTGGAACAAACTATGTTTCAAACCATTTGAATACTGCATGCTGGATCTTTTTTTTTCAGGCATTAGTTTACAAACTTCTTTCATGGTTTGAGGCAAACATAATAAATACTTTCTGAGGACAAACCCAAACTTTTCTCCGGGGCAGTTGCCCGTGGGAGTTTCCCCTGGGACCCTGACCCTATGGTCATGGGCAAGTGTTTGCTTTTACATGTGATAAGGCAGCTCCTTGGCAAAGGAGTATTGCTTTGTGTTTGCTTTGGAATGCCCAGGCAGAGGGCACTGGCTGGTGGGGATGTCTTGGTGGACACGGGTGCACTGGCTTCAGGGCAGCTGGGGCTTAGGGCACACAGATGTCTGCACGAGCCTGCACAGATGTACACTAGGGCAATGCTTTTCCAGGGCTAGAAAGGGGGAAAAGAGGGAGAAGGGAAAGGTCATTTTCCTTTAAACCATAAAAAAAGGGGCAGTTTAATAGTGGAAACTGGGTTTCTCTCTCTCGAGTCTTGCTTGTGCCGGTGGGGAGCTGTCCTGGCACGACCTGGGGATAGTTCTGGGTGTAGCGACCTGTCACAGGCTGTGAATCGCAGGATCGGTATGTGCCTTAGCGCCCTTGCAGCTTAGCAGTTGTCGGTGGGCTGGGTTGGGTTAGTTTGGGGGGTTTTGTGTTTCTAAACTGTGAGAAACTAAGCAAAACCCACCTTTGTATCTTTTCTCAGTTAGTTTGTATTGTTGTTTTTGACCAGAAGTCGTCAACACCTCGTTCTCTTGCTGTCCCAGTTTAAATTGCTCATTAATGCTCAGACTGCTCTAGGTGGGGAGACCGTGACCAGCCTGGAATGCTGCATACTTACCGCATCTTTTGCCCGTTAAATAAAACCCTAATTTCTCCCCTGCTGTCAAAAGGAAGAGAAGTTTGCTGTCCCGGAGAGCAGCAGTAAACATAACGCTGCCTGGCCGGGAGGAGCAATGGGCTTACTGCCCTGGAAGACTGCCTTATCGTGCTGAAGATGCCTGTTATGCAGAAGGACGAGAGCACTTTGCCCCTTTTGTCTCTTTGAACTTTGACCAGTTGGTCAGGATTGATTATCAACTCGGATGCTAATTACGCTGCTTCTCATTTCACTGAGCAAAGGTGTGTTGGCAGCTTCCTTGCTGGGGCTGGAGTCTCCCGGACTAGACCCGTGAAGTACAATGGGCGAGGAGGAAGCAAAGACCTTGCCTATGGAGCTGAGCGAGAAGGGGGGTGTGGAGAACAACGGGTTTGTTCAAAATGAGGCTTTTGATGACAAGGAGACCGAAACCAGCAGCCAAGAAGAAATGCCAAAAACGTGCACTGTCGCTGTGGATCCAGAGGCTGTGGAGGAGCCAGTGCTGAAGCCCTACGCAGGGATGCCCAAGGAAGTCTTGCTGAAGTTCTCCAGCCAGGCCAGGTACAGGGTCACCAGGGAGATTCTCTTCTGGCTCATAATTGCTGCTGCTGTCCTGCTCGTCTGCGCTACGATTGCGATCATTGCTCTCTCTCCAAAGTGCCTCGACTGGTGGCAGGCTAGTCCGATTTATCAGATCTATCCTCGTTCCTTCAAGGACAGCAACATGGATGGGAACGGGGATCTGAAAGGTGGGTGAATTCCGTTCTTGGTATGTGCAAAGCTGTGCAGCATGTGTGTGTGAATAAATGTATGTAGATATATTAAGAAAATATCATATAAGAATAAGAAAATATCGTATAAAATATCACCATACAGACCAATAGGGAAAGCCATCCTAATGGAGAAAGGAAGAAGAGTTGTCTGACTAATCATTAATGGCAACCCACGTTGTCACAAGTAGATCTAGGAGCTGAAGTTGCCAAGTGTAAACCTGGAGTTAGAAGGGATATTTAGAGGTGGGGCTGAGAGCGAGCAGCAGCACAGCTGCCATCACGATAAAATGCTGCCACAAATGTGAGGTCAGTCAGGAGGAGGGGTGGTGCTGAGCACTTTGTCATGGTAAGTTGGCCGCCCTTCCCTAAGGAAAAGTGAGGAAAACCAAAACTGACAGAGGGGAGAAAGATGTGTTACTTTCAGTTTTGTGCATGGTCTGCACTCTTAGGAATGCATTGAGAAGGGGTGTAGTGAGCGC